CTTCGTCCTCGAAGGGATCAGGCTCAGAAGCGGCCTCCAGCATGTGATCGGGAAAATCTTGCGTTTCACGAGAAACATCCTCGTGCTCTTCGGCAGCGAGGGAGCTTTCAGACGCATCCCCGAACAGCCCATTGGTTTGGTCTCGGGCATTTTCCTTGGCTTGTGCGACACGGGGCGCTTGCTCGACGCGAGCAGCGCTGGACTTCGATCCGACTGTAGGGGGCGAGCCAGGCCTGACCGACTGGGGCAACTTGGGAGCCGACGCGAGGGTTCTCGTTTCGAGCTGCTTGCAAGAATGTCTGCGGCGAACAATGGGCGCGCAGTGTGGTGCCCAGGTCACGCCATGCTCCGCCGAGACATCTACTGCGAAACTGCTGCAACCAGGGCCTGCGATGACATAAGCAATCAAACTCTGACCACAACTCGTACTACATGTGTCTGCGTCGGGTGCAGGATGAATCTGCCCGCGCACGCGCTGCAAACATCGAGGCGATCTAAGCTGGTCGGGAGTGACGTTGCAATCCCCAGCGAATAGCCGGGGCAAACGGCGTGAGCGCAAGAAGACGCCTAACCTCGTCAGGCGAGCTGGATTGCGCCCTCCAACTCTGACAGAGGGGTGAAGATAACAAAGAACGAGCACAATGGAACATCCGTGGAGGTGGATGGTGGTCGGGGGGAAACCGTCGAAGCTGTTGTGGCCGTCTGCGCACAAGTCTGAGGCGCACTCAGCTTCGACGGGGAACTTGTGAACCCGAATCTGCTGACGAGCCAGGAGCAGTTCGCCACCTTCGTTGACTCTGCTGCGGCTGGTCTCACTGGAACCGCGGCCAGTGTCACGTGCGAGATTGGGAAAAGCCTTCACCTTCTGAGATCTAAACTTGCCTCTCCACTCCTGCCTCAGTGACTCCCCGATGTGAGTCTTGACGAAACCCATGAAGTCGTGCGAGTGGCTGGCCTGCTGCGCGAGGATGTGCGACCATGCCTTCCTGCCCGGCGTCGTGACGTTGGCAGCAGACAGCGTGGTGCAACCCTCGCTCCCACGAGTAGGCGTGGAAGCTGAAGGCGACGGAGCTGTGGAAACAACAGGCGCCGAGGTCGCTGGGCCCAGGTCGACGCCTGGCGGTGAGGGCGGGTGGGGTATACGTCCCTGTGGTGCCGACTGTCGCGGTCGGCTGCATCTCAGCGGCGGGCTCAGGGACCGCGAGGCCTGCCGCTGCTGGAGCTTATCACGCTCCAGCGCCATCGCCGCCTGCCGTGGCGGCCTTGGCTGCCCGCTCGGCTGCCTTCTTGGCCTCCTCGGCCTGGGAGCGCGCCTTGCTCAGAGCGGCCGCCTTCTCCTGCACCTCGGTCTGGGTCGGCTGCTGCTCCGAGGACGGCTTGGCTGTGCCGCCGCCGCTCGCGCCGCCAGGCGCGCCTGCGGCAGGGGCTTCGGCCGCTGCTCCTCCCTCGGTGTGCGGCTGCTGCTCTTCCTCCTTCTTGCGCTTCTTGGTCGTCCTCTCCTCGACGTCCTTCTGCATCGCCTGCATGCGCGCGAGCCAGGCCTGCACCTGCTCGGAGCGCTCAGACATCTTCTCCTTCGCCTGCTTGAGCTGGGCCTCGAGTTCCTTGAGCTCGCGCCTCTCATTCTCCTCGGTCTCCATGGGGTCGAGCGACTCAAAGAGCGTTGTCTCATTTGACTTCGAACATGTCCTCCTTGTCATGCTGCACTCCGTCAGCGCTGAGCCCTGGGGCCCGCGCCAAAGCCTTCACCGCGAGCTGTCTGGTGATGGTGGCCTGCGCGAGGGTCTCCGAAGTCTCGCGCTCCTTGGGCTCCGCCTTGGCGAGGTTCTCTCGACAACGGAGGACATGCTGGACAGCCTGCGAGTGCTTGGCGTCCGCGTCGCGCCGGGCCTCCTCTGCTCCCCGAGCTGCCTCAAAGGGAGGTACGGGGGCTGGCGACGCGGCCGCCTCGAACTTGGCTGTCAGGATGGCCTTCTGGGCCTGCAGCACCTGTTTGATGGTCGGGCCACTGGTGGCCGCGATCGTCTGGTCGAGCACCGAGACGGCGTCGATCTCGTCGGACGACTTGCCGCCCTTGCTGCTCTTCCCCTTCTTCCCTGGCACCAGCAATGTGTCCTCATCCTTCTGAGGTGACTGATAGTGGTCCTTCTCCTTTGACTTGGCGTTGTAGAGGGCCGCGGGGCGACCGCAACGTCGGCACTTACCGTTCTACTTCAGCAGGACATCATTCCACTGATGAGTGTGGCAACTCTTGCAAGCGGACCACATTCGTGAACCTGAGCCATGTCAATGCCGGTGGAATTCGATGGATGCCTCGACTTCGTCAGCCCGAACGCCTGCGCTCTCTCGGCGAGGGTGGCGAGGTGTCCCCCAAACACCATGTGGCGGCGCGAAGCCTGGACGAGTGGGTGCGCGCAAAATGCGTCTGGGAGGGTGCGAAGAAAGAACCCTCCTGCTCCCGCTCGAGCCAGAATGCTTGAGATGAGGAGGAAGAGGTGGAGGAGGAGGTGGAGGAGGAGGAGGAGGAGGAGGAGGAGGAGGAGGAGGGAGGAGGGTCCTCGCCCTCCCTCTGGGCAAGACGAGCGCCCCGTATTCCCGTCGCGTTGGCCCGGAGGCCCACGGGCGGAGTGCGCACGTCACGGGCTGCTTCCGCGGCCCCAGGGCCAACCCCGACATCGCAGCCGAACCGAAACACAGCCTGCCTGCCTCCTTTACTCCCTCTCCTCTCTCTCTCTCTCTTCCTCCCTGCGTCCTTCCCTCCCTCTCCTCCCTTTCCTCCTCCTCCTCCTCCTCCCTCCTCTCCCTCCTCCCTCGTCCTCGTCCCTCGTCCCTCGTCCCTCGTCCCTCGTCCCTCGTCCCTCGTCCCTCGTCCCTCGTCCCTCCTCCGCCCTCCTCCCTCCTCCCTCCTCCCTCCTCCTCCTCCTCCTCCTCTGCTCTGGCTGGCTCGCCGCTGCTGTCAACCGAGGGGCGCTGAGGTGTGGAACAGGGCCAGCAGAAAGACGCTGGTTGGGCGTCGCTTAACTCGCCGTCGCTCGGTCGTCCGTTCCCCGTGCGTTTTTAGATTTCGTGCGTGATCTTTTGGCTCGATGAGCCAGGATGCTCCTCGATGGTCCTCGCCGAGACAAAATGCACACGTCCGACCGACGCCAAGTTAATGGGGGGCGATGAGTTGAGTGGGGAAGAAAGGTGCCCATTTCGGGCCCCACGGGCCCCGTTTTGGGACCCGAAAGGGCCCATTAGGGGCCCTGCAAGGCTCCTTTTCTGCAATCCTCACTGCCCCCCCATTTATCGCCTCCCACCTCACACGACGCCTAAACGGGCAGCTTCACACCGGCACCAGGAGGATGAGGGCGAGGATGATAATGATAATGATACTGAAAATGAGGATGAATTTGATGATGATGATGATGATGATGATGATGATGATGATGATGATGATGATGATGATGCTGCTGATGCTGATGCTGATGCTGATGCTGATGCTGATGATGATGATGATGATGATGATGATGCTGATGATGATGATCATGATGAGGAGGAGGAGGAGGAGGAGGAGGAAGAGGAGGAGGAGGACGGGGAGGGCGGCGAGGACGGGAAGGACGAGGGGGATGACGTGGAGGAGGAGGAAGAGGAGGAGGAGGAGGAGGAGGAGGAGGAGGAGGAGGAGGAGGAGAGGAGGAGAAGGAGGAGAAGGGTCAGGAGGAGGACGAGGAGGAGGAGGAGGAGGAGGAGGACGAGACGGAGGAGGAAGAGCAGGATGATGAGGAGGAGGAGGAGGAGGAGGAGGAGGAGGAGGAGGAGGAGGAGGAGGAGGAGGAGGAGGAGGAGGAGGAGGAGGAGGAGGGAGGAGGACGGATGAGGGAGGCGGGAGGAGGGAGGAAGCACGCGGAGGTCCGATCCGCTCTCTCTCCCTCCCGACCCGCCACCTCAAGGGGATCCTTACCCCCCTGGGCCGATCCCCGTCGTTTCGACAAGCCCCGAGGATCGGTCCAATAAGGCCCAAGAGGTCCTCAAAAGCGCCCCCCGACGGCCCAGGGGGCCCCCAAGACGGCCCTGGAGACCCCTAAGACGGCCCACTAGAGCTCCAGGATGGGCCAAAAGGAGGCCCTAGAGGGGGAGCACGAACCGATATCTCGAGTCCTTCCCCCAAGATGGTTTTTGAGATCGCCAGCAGGCCCCCAAGAGGCACCCAAGAGGCCTACGTCAGGCACCAAGAGGCTCCCAAAAGACCCCTGAGAGGCCCCCAAACCACCCCCAAATCGAATCCGAGAGGCTTCTGAGAGGCCTCCCAAGAGATCCCCAAATGCATCACATAGGCCTCTGACCTACAACCCTTGCACATGTGGCGGGATGGGCCGAAGGCCAGTAGACATATGCACGTACATGTCGGTTCGGACACCTAGAATATGGAAGCGCAATCGTCAGACTGATCGTGCGCAATCATACTGATCTTGTGCGCTGGTGGCAATACGATTCCCCTTGCCTGAACAGCGTTTAAACGTGGGCTGTGCTATGCAGTAACGGCTGTTACATCACGCTTGACCTCCTCCTCCTCCTCCCCCTCCTCCCCCTCCCCCTCCTCCACGCGATCCCACCCGCCTCCTCTCGTCTTCCACCTGGGAGAGGGGAGGGAGGAGGAAGAGACGGAATCGAAGGAGGAAGGATGCCCGTGGGAGGAGAAGCCAGTGCGCCAGCGGAACAACGTTTTCGCTTTTCGGGTTGCTTTCGTTCTTCCCCGTTCTGTCTTCGTTCTGCTCTCTCTGGAAAACGAGTTCGAAACGAAAGCGGTCCACGAAATCGCCAAAACACCGTTTGGCTCGCGCCCTGGGTACAACGAGGGAAGGGGAAGGGGAAGAGAGGGAGGAAGAGGGAGGACTCGAAGAGGGCGGATGGGGATGGAGAAAAGGGAAGGATTGAGGAGTCGTAGGATGGAGAGGACAAACAACTGCTTGAGAAAGGCGCGCGACTTTGGCACGTCAGCATGGCAGCCCGCAGCCCGCCTGCGCCAGAAGGGCTGCTGGCGCTGCTCAGGACGTACCTGGTCCGCCATGGGGCGGGGGGAGAAGCCGGCCTCTTCTCCCGCTGCTGCCGTGCGAGTGGTACGCGTGCGCCCGTGCCCGGACCTGCCCGACATGGAAGAACAATGTCACAGACATACGCTTTCAGAGCAGAGCAGCGCGAGGATTTCTTTGCTCGGCGCTGGACCCCCCCCATGGCGCGCGGGGCGCGCCGTGAGCGGCGCAGGGAGCGTCCTCTAAAGGGGGTCACAGCGGCGATCCCAAGACCCCATGGCGGCCCAAGAGGGCCCCCAAGACGGCCCCAAGGGGGCCCCAAGACGGTCCAAGAGGCCTCGAAGACGCCCAAGGAAGCCTCCAAGACGGCCCTGGAGCACCCCAGGAGGGCCACCTCCTCCTCCTCCTCCTCCTGATCTTCCCCGCCAGCCTCCCCCAAGTGTTCCTGAAGGGTTTCCACAACGGTTGGGGGAACACATGGTCCGATAGCTTGCAAGAGCTCTTGCCGCAACGCTCGGCCACACTGGCGATTCTAGAAGGCAGGGGGCAGGGGTGATTCGCCGCAGGCGTCTTCGATGAAACCGACGTCTCAATCTGCGCTGATGATTCCTATCCCCCCCCGCATGATGTGCCCAGATGCGCCAAGGCAGCGCCGAGACGCACCGACGCGACTCTGAGACATACAGTCATCGGCCTGACCTAAGGAACGATAAATAAGGAACGGAACTCCCGTTCCTTTGACCAGCCTTGGGCCAGCCGCCCTCATCGACAAAACGAACCCGCGCTTCCAACATCTGAAGGAACATCAGGGGGGCTCGCCGCCAAAAAGGTAGCGGAACGCATGCAAACCTATGGAACGACCGAGTGCCTTTTGAAAAGTAAGTCTTCCTTATTCAAACCGCTCACTGTATCCCACTCTCACTGTATCCCAGGGGGCGGGCGAAGCCCTTACGGATAGCGATCGAGCCTGCCTCGGGCTGCTTCGCCTGCCTCCAGGAAGTGAGAGGGGAGGGGGGAGGCAGAGCGGAGGAGGAGGAGGAGGAGGAGGAGGAGGAGAAGGAGGACGAGGAGGAGGAGAAAGGAGAGAGCATGAGGATGAGGATGAGGATGAGGAGTAGGAGAAGGGAGCAGGAGAAGGGGGAGGGAGAAGGGGGAGAGGGAAGGGAGAAGAGAGGAGCAGTGAGCACCGAGGGGGGAGAGGGGAGGGAGCAGGGCAAAAGGGAGGAGCGCGGAGCGAGCAGTGGGAAGAGACTGCCCACGAGATCGGACCTCCAGGGAGAGACACGACATCGAGAGATCCACGTCGGAATCCTCGGCCCCCGCCGCTGCTGCGCGGCGCGGCCGCGGGCGGAGGAGAGAGAGAGAGAGAGAGAGAGAGAGAGAGAGAGAGAGAGAGAGAGAGAGAGAGAGAGAGAGAGAGAGAAAGAGAGAGAGAGAGAGAGAGAGAGAGAGAGAGAAAAAAAGACCACGTTCAGTCCAGGAGGCGTCAGCGATGCTGCAGCAAACCTCCCCGTTCCAAGTCCCGTCCCCACAAGTCCCTACGATGCTTTTGGGGGAGGGGGGAGGGGGGAACGGGGAGGGGGAGGGGGAGGGGGAGGGGGAGGAGGAGGAGGAGTGGAGTGGAGCAATCGGACGTAGTCCGTACGGAACCCAGGGATGCCAGGGGGGCCATCCAGTATTTCTCGGAGGGCCGTGGGGGGCGACATCCCACGGCCCGCCGCGACAGGCCCCCCTGGCCTCGCAATTTACTCGGTGGCAGCACCCGCCGCGAAGGAACCGATCGCGGCTTCAGCTGCCGAAACGTGCAAAGCTTCTAGCACAGCCTTGCTGGGGCCCGCTCTGGACGGGTGGAGGCCTCGCCTGATCCTGCTGAGGTTCTCGAGGCCTTTGCCAGTGGGTCCCAGGGCCCTGCGCTCTCCAACTTGGTGGGAGAGAGGGCACGGCAAAAGAAGGCTTTTAACCTGGTGCGTGGCCGTATGGCCGCACTTCACACAAAAGAACAACTGCCACTTGGGGATGGTGGCCAAAAAGTGGGAGGGGTGGATCAACTTGCCACTGATCACGCGGGGACCCCTCGACCACAGCACCTCTCCGCACGCAGCGAACTCGGGAAGGGGGCAAGGCGGCGCACACTCAGTGGCGGCAGCTGGGATAACGTGGCACGCGTCAACGATGATGAGGCAGGCAGGGCATCTCCATTTGTCTGCACGCCGCTCGAATTTGTGCTGAGAAGCCGCGATCGCGGTCTGCAACTGAGAGCGAGGGGCAGCAACCTGGGTGGGATGCCTTTCTGGCCACTGTCCCCGAGGCTCTGAATTCTTGCCTAAGGAACGTAATATCAGTCGGGCCCTCTGTCGGACGATGGCTGCAATAGCGTCATATTCATCAGTCCTGGGGACAGGCGGGAGGGCAAGGGTGGCCGACTTGTGGGCCGCGCTTCCCGCGAGCTCATCGGCATGCTGGTTGCCGAGAGCCATAAATTTTTGGAAACCATTCAAAGTGAGGGGATCGGCGTGAGATGGGGTCCAGAGCACCGAGACCGAAGAGCAGCCGCCAGATCGATCCTGCACGAGGTGCCGAATTCTCAGCCAGAGATCCCCATTCTTATTCTTGCCTCTGAGGCTGCCAGGTCGGAGACATCTGCCATTCTGCCAGCCGCGCTGTAGGGCTAGGTGATCGGTGACAAACGTGAAATCCTGCTGGCACGTCTCGAGAGCCAGGCAAAACGCATGCAATTCGCCTCTTGGGACAGTCTGGCGGGGGCCTGGGAGGGGGGCGAGGAGGCCAGCATGGAGGGCCCAGGAGGCCGAGGGAGGGTCCCATCGGAGGGCCGCGAGGCCAGAACCAACACGTCTTCGTCTGACGTCGTCGGAAAAGGCGCCGCCAGACCCGTCGCCAAAAAGAAACAACTCGCCCTCAGCGTTACGAGCTCCTTCCCACGATGGCAACCCATCCCGCACCACACCAACAAACTCCCACCCGTCCCTCCCAGTGAATGGCTCGAACGCGGGCGTAGTGAGAGCGACGGAGGGAAGGCCGCGGAGCCACAGGGCAGGGTCGGCTTCGGCCCCCGCCACGGCTCGCGGTAGTAGCTTGTCACTGGCCTCAAACTCGGGTCCCACATTCGCCTCGCACTGCCACATGCGGTGAAACAGGGTTTCAGGAACTCCTGCGCTGCAACGGTCGCAGTTCCTGTCGATCTGGTAGCCCGAGTTGTGGAGGCGGTCTCTGGTCCATTGTCCTCCACTGATGACGGTGTTGTTGAGGGCCCAGTCGCTGAAATCACCGTTTGCGAGGAACCTCCTTTGCTCGATGCGGATAGTGACCATGTCCGCTCCTCCAGCCAGCGTGTCGCCGTGGTCATGGGTAGCGGCCTGAGTCCAGAGGAGCCTGCGCAAATCCTCGCTGAGGTCCTGCAATACTGTGTGGATGTCAGCGTCGGGGAGGTCAGGGTCGTGGGCAGAGGGGAGGTTCCACTCCTCAATGTAGCCGTCCTTTGTGCGCCTCCACGTGGTGGCCGAGGTCGGCTCCCAGCTGGCCTCCAGCAGTGTCGCGATGGCCGCGCCAGTGGGCCCTTTGACCCTGCACCACAGCTTGGGGCCTGCGGCTAGCAAGGTGGTCTTGATCCTTGGCCATGCTCTGATGATCCTGGCGTGCGTTCTCGGGTGGCGTATCCAGTGCTGGAGCCAAGCCTCGATGAACTCGATTCTCAGGGAAACTCCTGGGTCCATGCCGTCGAAGGTGGCGCCGAGGAGGGAGGTGAGGCATCGGCCCGCTGCTGCCCCCGTGGCCGCGATGGCGGCCTGACGGCGCCATCGTAGTAGAGCGTGTCGAGCAAGGCCGTGCACCTGATGACCAAAGACTCCTTCGGGGAGAGCGCCAGTACGCCACAATCCTGCTGAGATTCGAGCCTGCTGTGCAGTGCTCCGTAGTCGGTGTATCTTGCGAAACCTGGCTGCGGCTGAGCTCTGTCGCTTCCTGGCTTTTGCTTGTGCTCGTCGAGTAGCCGCGGCCGCGTCGACTCCGAGGTCCACGGCCGTGGCGGCCGCTGTGACGGGGATGTCGTACTGCCGCAACTTCTTGGCAAGCGATTTGCGGACCTTGGGGGTGGAGCCGATGAGGACCGTCTTGTCAGAGATGGGCAGCTCGAACTCCTTTAAACCGTCGCAGAGCGTCTTGGCGGCACGGGGGAGGTGCTTCTGAAGTGTACGTAGGACTCCTTCGACTCGAAGGACGGTGTCGTCTACGAAGGTCCACATCTGGGCTAGCTCAGCCTGGGCTTGGGCTTGCCGTAGAATAGGAAGTAATATGAGTCGCGCCAAGGTCGTGCCATGCGGGGAGCCTGCGATGATGCCTTTGGGGGCGAAGATAGGCATACTCACCCATTGTCGGCTGCGCAAGAATCTGGGCGCGAGATATAGCTGTACTTCCAGAAGTAGGACAATGGGTGGGAAGCCGCAGTTGAGGCCGACCATGATGAGGTTGGCGAGCTTGATATTGTCGTAGAACTTCTGGATGTCCAACAGCAATGTGGCTGACTGTATGCCAAGTGCTGAGGCTGTCTCGTCTAACAAGGCCCTGTGCAGGGCGGCCTGGAGAGCTGAGGAGCCTTTGATGGCTGTAGTCCAAAAGTCATCCAGTCCTTGGGTCCAGGAAGTAGATGCCGTCGATCTGATGCGAGACCAGAGTCTGGCCATGTGAGGTAGCATGCCGAGGACCCTGTCGCCTCCAGACATCTTGGCTGCAAGGGCTGCAATAGTGCCTGAGATTTGTAGTGGCCAAATGCCTGCCTGCCCTACTGCGTTGAGGATATCCGCATAAGCTTCGACTGCTGGTTCTGGTAGTCGATGGAGGTCGCGAGGTCCAAGTGCGTCCACTCCATGTGCTTTACTGGGTGGCATGCGGCCGTGAAAGCGATGTACGATCTCGGCTGTGATGGGCTCGAGCGGTTGGTGTGCGGCTGCTGCCTTGGCCTTTGATAGCGCCTGTAGGATGTCGTCAGGGGTCTCTGTGGCCTGCCATACTT